TAACCTTTAAAACCCCTAGGTACTGGGCAACGAAGCAATGTGCTTTGGGCATCCTTTCGTTCAGGCCTCGCAGGTGCCTTGAGACATGGAGGGCCTAGGTGCTCATGCAAACCCTGAACGCCCTAAGCCCGAAGCCCCAAACCCTAAACCCTGAACCCTGAACCCTGAACCCTAAACCCTAAACCCTAAACCCTAACCCTAAACCCTAAACCCTAAACCCTAAACCCTAAACCCTAAACCCTAAACCCTAAACCCTAAACCCTAAATCCCTTTCTGGGGTACCCTGAAACTTAGGATCTGCCTGGTAATGGTAACCCCAAAAGAGACCATAGTTTTGCGAGGTGGCCATGTCTGGATGTAGCATCCCTCGACGTAAGCTACCTTACCAATACGCCTCAATTCAAAAAATGCCTTAAGCCAGATTAGGGACCCCTATATAATTGAAGGAATTTTCCCAACTAAGGGGCATTGTTTCTTTGGCTCTTTGGATACGAGGAGTTGACTTCCGAGTACAAGTCCATGTTCGCGGATACCGGAGGGCTTTCTGCCGGAGGCCCAGGCCGTGCAAGGCTTTTGTGGTAACGACAGGTAGGGTATTCCACCCTGAACCCTGAACCCTTCAACCCTAAACACCAAACCCTCAACCTGTAGTAGGGTTGTAGATATTGCCCTACTTGCATCCCTACTTATGACGGCCCATGAGCCTCCGGGAATCCCTCTTGCAAGTGATTCAGTCGATGGGAAGCCATGGAGGCGGACTGTCAACCTGCGCAAGAAGGGTTTAGGGTTTAGGGTTTCGGGTTTGGGGTTTGGGGTTTAGGGTATAGGGGGGCTTCAAGGCTTGGGGGGTATGAATTCGGCTACTGTCGTCCGATCAACTTGCTGCTCTGCCCCTCGGCTGAGATTTCTGTCAGCAGCCGAAGCGTCGACTTTTGCTTCCACACAGTGGGAGATACCCCGAAAAAGCATAATTACTCGCCTTTCCGCTGCGATGGGTCGGATGATTCGAGCTGGGTCTCTTAGGTAAGGGCCTGCGCCATTCATCCCTCGACGTAGCCGCATGCCAGCCGCAAACGTATGTGCTGCCTTCCGGATCCACGCACAAGTGTTGACGACACCTTACTTCAGTTCTCCTCCGGGGGTCAAGAGTCATAGTGGCGGAGCTGGTAATATAGCTGCGCAGTAACACTTCGGTACCCAGATCTCAAGTAAAATGGATGTGTAAGTGTAGGGTGTATAGAGCTTTGGCACTTGCATTCTGATGGGTTGAGTTCCAACCGCTGAGGCTCCGACGTCCTCATGGTTGGCCAAAGCTGTCGTCGTGCGCTGCCCAAGTTTTGGGGAATTTAAACCCTAAAGTTCTAAACCCTAAACCCTAAACCCTAAACCCTAAACCCTAAACCCTGAACCCTGAACCCTGAACCCTGAACCCCAAACAAAGGCAAACCCAAAGTGTCCTGTTTGCCGTTCCCAACACTCAGGGCAACATTTCGCAGGGGTATACAGCTGCATAAAGTATAAAGCCTTCTCTGGGTAAAACTTATGGGGTTTCGGCTGTTCAGGGTTTAGGGTGTAGGGTTGTCTCTGGGAGCCCAGCAATACGCCTTCAGGCGAACAGGAACGATCGCAAAGTTAACCACAGCTCTTTTGCCAGTGAGTTTAGTTCTGTGTCTTGTTCTGTTCGGAGAACGGGCGGATACACAGAAGCCCATTTGCTAACGGGCTGTCTGGGTAGGAGGGGTGAGTCGTCGATCATGACCATAGGGAATCCGAAGCCTCGGGCCCCAAAACCCAGAGGGTTTAGGGTTTAGGGTTGAGGGTTGAGGGTTGAGGGTTGAGGGTTGAGGGTTTGGGGCTCAATATCTCGCAGATCGCTCCCCCAAGCTCCACTCGAAACCAGGCTGAGCCTTCCTGCGGCGGCAAGGGCGGGGGTCTAAGCGCGGTGAGAAATCCCAAAACCCTATAAACCATTAAGTCCCCACCCTACTGGCTGGTTCTGAGTAGGGAATGAGGGAATGAGGTACCCTGTATAATCCCTTAAAGGGTATACATTTTGGGCCCTCATTCCCTACGAAGAACCAGAGGGACTAAGCCACCATGCCACTACATCCCCTAAGGGGAGCTATCGAGTACCGAACCCTTTCATTCCCTACATGTACCGGTACATGTGCTTATCACTTCCTACTCCAGCCGAGGAGAGAGGGCCAAAGAGTCGTTTTGGGCAATGGGGCTTGTGGGGGTCCATGTACGTGGCCCCAGCCAGAGGCATCGCGTACAGCCCGGGGCATTGCCTCTTTGATGCAGGCGCGCCTGCTGCTGCCATTGCCCTCGTGGGTATCATTAGCATTAGCGGCGGTTGCTTGTGTGTTGGAGTTGGTTTCCTGGCACCTGACGTGAACCAAAAACATGCCCTACTAGCCCCAATGCACAAGTTGCGTTGATTCCCGAACTCTGCACTTAAGAAAGTCGTTGCTTGCTTCGTACCCGAAGTACAGCTATCCCTACTTTCAGCACCTTCATGTGCACATGAACCTTCAATTCACTTGGTGCTAACTCACCCTAAACCCTAAACCCTAAACCCTAAACCCTAAACCCCAAACCGCAAACCGCAAACCCTAAACCCTAAACCCTAAACCCTAAACAGGCTGGGGTTCCATGATGTTTTCCTTGAGCACCGAGCCGCCCTATGACGGGGTCTTGGCGGTGTCCGAGATGCGGGAGCCCCGGGTTGCCGTGTAACAAGCAAGTTTCGGGTTTAGGGTTTAGGGTTTAGGGTTTAGGGTTTAGGGATGGGGGCGAAGGGTTTAGGGTTTTTGTAGGCTCTTGGTGCTGCATGGGAGTCTGGCTTGCCTTCAGTCCAGTGGAGAGAAGAAAAAGGGCCCTTAAACCCCAAATCCTAATTCCTAAACCCCAAACCCTAAACCCCCTAAACCCTAAACCCCCTAAACCCTAAATCCTAAAATCCTAAACCCTAAACCCTAAAACCCTAAAACCCTAAAAACCCTAAAATCCTAAACCCCAAACCCTAAACATTTCGTAGGCTGGGAGGGTGAAAGAATCCTCTGCTGCTCCCTGGCTCCTTAGAGAGACCGGGCTCAAAAGGCTTTTGGGCTCACTGTTCCGTGCACGGTTTAGGGTTTAGGGTTTAGGGTTTAGGGTTTAGGGTTTAGGGTTTAGGGTTTAGGGTTTAGGGTTTAGGGCTTAGGGGTTCAAAAGCTTTCTGCCACAAAGCCATTCGCGTGACCCGCAAGTTGACGGACGGTACCTGCTCAGGTCACAGCGTGGAGCCGTGGGGCGCCCAAGGATGCTTTGTTCTATGCGAGTACAGAGGTTTAGGGTTTAGGGTTTAGGGTTTAGGGTTTAGGGTTTAGGGTTTAGGGTTTAGGGTTTAGGGCACACTTCCATGTAAGGAAGAATATCCCAGAAGATGTATTGCATTAACATACGCGACGTATGTCTCATGTTCCCATGCTAGCCAGAATCATCGCCTGAACTTGCTCTCTTCATGCGCCTCCACCACTGCGGCCACGCTCAAGCGTGTATCATAAGCCGATGTTGGCGATTGCCCTCACTTTTCGCTTTGCCGGGGTAAGGGTGTGCGTGGGACCGAAAATGTCAGAGATGCCCCCATTCCCAGAGCATCTCTCGCTCACTCACTCACTCACTCACTCACTCACTCACTCACTCACTCACTCACACTCTCTCTCTCTCTCACTCTCTCTCTCCGTCTTTTTCTACCTGTCGCAATCTGCTACACTTCTGTATGTGTGGGTGTGCATGTGGCCACCCCTCTCACACTCGTATCCACCTGTCGTCGGTGGATGCCAACGTAGAGGCCAGCGACAGGTTGAAAGCCTGCCTCCCACAAGGGTTGCACCTGGACGTTTGGAATCTCTTGTTCCACAGCATGCGGCCGAAGTGCAAATCGAGCCTTCGAAGCCCAAGCACACGATTACCCACCCTCATCTCTAAACCCTTTACCCCAAACCCTAAGTCGTAAACCCTAAACCCTCAACCCTCAACCCTAAACCCCAAACCCTAAACCCTAAACCTTTGCCACAAACTTCTTATCGCAAAGGCTCTGAGACCGCAGCCCTTTGTTCAGCCAGTGGTCGACCCACCGTGCTTTCAGTCCGGATGCGTTGGGCTCGGGAGGAGGTGACCACGATTTTGCTGCAGAGTCTGTAGCAATGGACCACAGATACCCCAAAAGGCATATACCTTATAGTATTGATATGAAGGATCCCTATATATATATATATGTATATGTATATATGTATATATAGAAGAATACTGATGATAATAGTAAGAAGAACAATAATAAGAAAAGGAATATTCCGTATCAAGGGGTAACAGTAACGGTATTGGGATCTTTGGAGAATCTGTGCCAGGCAAACGGAACGTCCTCCCTCGATGCCTTGGTGGATGCAGCGGATCGCGTCTACAAAAGCCTGCCCTGCCTTTTCATGGCGATTCGGGGGGGGGGGGGGGGGTTTATGAATAGCAGGATCCACTAAGAAAGATCCCAAATAGTAGGATGCCCTTATAGTGAGGACCCCAAAAAGGCGCCCCGTAGCTTCGGAAACCCCCAAGTGGTGATTGAGAGCTTTGGTGGTTTCAGCCTGGAGAAGGGTCTGATCGATCTTGATCGTGGGGACTTCAGGTTTCTCCAGCCATTGCCGGACTGAGGCGTGTGCACCATGCACTGTGAGTTGAACTCCCAATCCGGAAGCCCTGAACGCCAAAACAGTCCCAGAGCCCCAAAAACATTGCCGATCCACTTTTTCTGGTCTGACTGAAAGTGGGAGCTCTTTCTTGAACAGCGCATGCCGCAGCTGCTGGCTGCCAGCACATGCCAGCACAGGAGTCATGGGAAGAGTCTCATACTTGCTTCTTGGTGCCACTGTAGAGGCTGGCATGGCAGCACAAGCCAGAAGCTTTCAGAATATCAGCCGAAGCACATAGCCTTGAATCACCTTCATTGCGGCTCCCGCAGCTTCATGGAGCTGGAGAGACTGGAGCCGCTGGACTCTTGGCTGACCTTAGGAACCCAGCAGAGCTGGCTGGAGTGCCCTGAAAACGTGTGCAAGTCCATCAAGCTGGCGCAGAAGTCGTTGTCGCAGGGTGAGGTGCTCCTGAGGCTTCAGATTTCCACAAGGCTCCCCAGCCCGCCTGAAGAGCTCTTCCCTCCTCCAGAGCTGGTGGAGAGTGTGGGGCGGCTGACACCCGACCCTGCACACCTCTTTGCAGACATCCGAGTGGTGGAATCGATCGCGCCTGGTCAGGCGACGGTTCAGCTGACCGTTGATCCCAACAACTTGTGGTTCAAGACGCTGGCCGCCAACTCCCCCGCACTGACCTCTGATGAGGTGTTGCAGCCTCACCCAGGGTGCCTTGTAGTGCGAAGGTCCCCAAGCCCGCAAGGCAGCTGTACCATGTTGGTAAGTTCACAGGCCTCGCACTATCTGAGCACAGCTGTGACTGTGTCACCTGACCCGCAAGATGCGAGCAAAACGCTTATCACCCGCCTTATAGCGGCGCCTACGGACTGTGCGTACTTCCGCCTCAAGCACCTTGCTCGGATGTCCTTGTCTCTGGCTGGAGCAGCTTGGTTGGGATGGGTCTTTGGTGCGGAGATGTGCGCTGCTCGCGTGGCCATGAAGAGTTTCTATGTCATCCTCTCCATAGAGAGCTGCAACTACGGACCTCCACTGCTGCCACGCACGGCGGGTGCAAAGCCCTTTGTTGCAGAACACTGGGAGCGCGCACCAGCAGAAGGACATTTCGCAGCTTACCTCCACGACTTCTTGCGGGCTTTGGGCTTGGGTGTCGAGGTCTTCTGTTCTGTAGACGGCAAGCAGCTTACCCAGAATCAGGCGATGCTCCGTAGGCACGAATGGGAGAAGGCTTTGCCCATCTTCCTGCCCATGTTCCAGATGTCCACCATGGCCTACCGAAGGTTGAGCCCCCATGGGGCCGGCGAGCCGCCCAAGCTACTGGAGGACGAGGAAGCGACTTTCTGCCCATGAACCCCTGGGGATGCTCTTGAAGTTCGGTGCAGCCGGCGGAAGCCGCTGAGGCGCATGAAATGGCACGAAAGCCCGGAAGAAGTACTTGTTTCTCCTCAGGAGCCCTCGGGGGAAATGAGTTGGGACCGGATTGGCCGGTCTTGGTCATAAGCCCTAAACCCTAAAACCCTAGAACCCTAAAACCCTAAGACCCCAAAACCCTAAAACCCTAAAACCCTAGAACCCTAAAACCCTAGAACCCTAGAACCCTAAAACCCTAAGACCCTAAAACCCTAAAACCCTAAAACCCTAGAACCCTAGAACCCTAAGACCCCAAAACCCTAAACCCTAAACCCGAAACCCTAACCCCTAAACCCTAAACCATAGGTCTTCATCTTGCCGGCACCTCCTCAAGGGAAAGTGCTCGCTGCCAAACACGCTTGAAAAGCTGCTGAGAGCAGGAACAGGTGTTCCAGTCAGGGTAAAACCTAAAGATTAAACCCTAAACCCTAAACCCTAAACTCTAAACCCTAAACCCTAAACCCTAAACCCTAAACCCTAAACCCTAAACCCTCTCAAAGCCCAACTTTTCAACTCTTGGGCTTCTCATAATGTAGTTTATTCTGAAAGTTTCAACTTTCATTTCCTTGGGCTTTGGGCCAGTAAGCTATCAAGTCAACACAGGACCACGTCAGTTCGGGACCCCTGAGCTCTGCTTGTCGGTTTACAAGGCGGCTTAGGGTGGTTCAGCGCTTAGGGCACGTACCCTAGCTCCCAGACCTTAGAAAACACGTAACGCGAGGGCGGGCGGGGGCGGGTCCCCAATCCTGTACAATAAGCCCCATAAACTCCCAATAAACCTGACAACCGTAGGCATCCCCGCAACGCAGCATTCTGTGTGACTTGGTTGTCCTAGGCCCTGCGCGGCAAAAGCAACCAAAGCCCTCCTTCGCCCGCACACGCACGGTCGCTGCGCAGGCCTCAACACTCCCAGCCCTGACGTGTTCTTCCTCAGCCCCCGCCTCGTGGGGACATCGGTGCCAAAATCAAAGTGAGATGTGACGAGAGACGGAATTTCGACAGCTTCGTTTTCTGGCTTGAACCTGAAAACCCGAAACCCTGTCCCAGGACGCAGAATACCCATCAATTAAAGGCGAACGCGCGCTAACTGCCGTGTTTACTTCTGCCGAACAGTGCAGGCGTGTGCTCTCAACACGCGCGGTTGTGTGCAACGCTTCAGCTTCAGACACAGGTTAGGCCTCTCGAAGGAAGTTTCTTGGCTAAAGCGACCTAAACCCTAAACCCTCAACCCTAAACCCTAAATTCCGAGGTCCTATGGTCGGTAACTGCTTGACCCTCCGTCGGCTGGGTCCTTCGCGTGGCAACAAGGCCATAGAGATCGTCAGCACAGGTCGTGGCAGCGTCGTGGTGGTGGGATGTACGTTTGAGAATATGCTCCCTTGTTTTGGGGACCCCAATTCAGAAATGCATAACACACGTGTATATATATATATGTATATATATTTATCTATGTGTTCATATTTACTTATTTATATCTATTCATTGATTGCCCCGTGGTCTAATGGGAACCCTAAAGGGACCAGAATCAGTAGCTGATGAGCGGCACACAGTGTGCTGATGGAGCCTACAGCTTACTTCGCCTTTAGTTGAACTTTTTTGTGTTTCCTTATGTAGTAGGATTATCAAAGTTTCACCTTTTTTCCCTTGGAGAAGTAAGACAGGGTGGGGCCCTGTGTATGCTAGAGCTCGGTCGGGTTCCTCAGTGAACATAGCGGCAGCCAGGACCCGAATTCAAGACATTTCAAGACAACCCCCCCCCCCCTCCCCCCATGTCAAATGGCATGAGTTGCGTGCGCACACACGCATTTACGTATATATATATATATACATATATATACATATATATATATATACATTATATACACACATATGCATGTGCATACCTTTGCTGCCGGGCCGTTTCCTGAACGCCGAGGCGGGAGGGAGCTTCTCACAGCTCAACCAAGCATTCAATGCAGAGTAGGATTTCGGATTTAGGCTTTCGGGTTTCGGGTTCAGGGTTCAGGGTTTAGGGTTCAGGGTTTAGGGTTTAGGGTGAGTCGCCTCCAAAGTCCGTTGCGTCACAAGGGTTTAGTGAGTTGCACACAGCAGGCCTGCAGGGCCACATAGAGCCTGGCTGCCATGTCGCAGATGCCTGAGATGCGCGAGGGCGACTGGGTGTGCCCGGCCTGCTCTAATCACAACTATGCAGACAAGGCTCGCAGGGTTTAGGGTTTAGGGTTTAGGGTTTAGGGTCGCTGGCGAGATTGCCCGGAGCCCAGTATTCAAAAGGGTTTAGGGTTTAGGGTTTGTTCGGGAAGCAATGTGTGCAACGCAGGTCCTGTGCAATCGGTGCAACGTACCGAAAGCCTTGATCATGGGCGCGAAAGACTTTCGGCAAGGCGATTGGATGTGCCCAGCTTGTGGCAACCACAACTACTCCAGCAAGATGTCCCTACATCCCCCCTTGGGAATATTTTTTGTTGTTGTTTATACAAAACCCCAGAGGATATTAAACATATTGTTTTTTTATTGAGGTTCCAAGGGGAGTACAGGTCCTGCAACAGATGCCAGAAGCCGAAGGCCATGCTCGGAGTGACTTGGCTGCAGCGTCAAGGTTGCCATCCAGGCTTGTAAGCGGGTAGGGGGCGCGTTGAAGATGGTGACGCACGGAGTTTTTCAATGTGGAGTTGCTGGGATTTCGGGAATCCGAGAGCTCAGGTCATGGGCACACCGACCGCGGCACAAGCGCACTCTCAAAACATGCGCCGGGGGGACTGGATATGCCCTTCCTGCAGCAACCACAACTACGCGCCCCTGGGTAGCCCAGAGGTGCCCTTTACCCTCTTTTTTTTTGGTTTATGGGTTCCCTTATGTAATAACCAGGCCAAAAAAAAGGGGGTGCCCTTATTATCATATGGTTGCTGGGCTACCAAGCCCTAAACCCTAAACCCCTAAACCCCTAAACCCCTAAACCCCTAAACCCCTAAACCCCTAAACCCCTAAACCCCTAAACCCCTAAACCCCTAAACCCCTAAACACCTAACCCCTAAACCCCTAAACCCCTAAACCCCTAAACCCCTAAACCCCTAAACCCCTAAACCCCTTAAACCCTAAACCCTAAACCCATGGTTACTGGGCTACCAAGGTCCAAGACGGCTTGCAACAGGTGCAGCCTTCCCAAGGCGGAGAATGCAAAGGTCACTCAGGCCACCACACCCAGAAACTTCAGGCAGCTGCGCCTGATTGGGTTTAGGGTTTAGGGTTTAGGGTTTAGGGTTTAGGGTTTAGGGTTTAGGGTTTAGGGTTTAGGGTTCAGGGTTCAGGGTTCAGGGTTCAGGGTTCAGGGTTTAGGGTTTGTCTTTGACTGGCCAGTCCCCCAGCCCAGTTGCAAAAGGGTTTATGTTTGCTTCTATGGGCCTTTCTCCCTATGAAGCCCCATGTAGCCCATAGACATTTAGGGTCTTCGAGGGCCCCTGCCAGACCCACCCCCCCAGGCAAGGGGACTGGATGTGTGCAGACTGTGGCAACCACAACTACGCCAGCAAGATGACCTGCAACCGATGCCAAAGTCCGAAACCAGCAGCTGAAGCGGCTTCGCTGCAGTTACAGAATGGAGTACTTCTAGTTGGACTTAACCACGAAGTCTCTGAACCAATTCATACCCTAAACCCTATGCCCTAGATCTACGAACCATTGCAAGCCCCTAAGCTTTAAAAAGATAGTGGTCGATTCTCAACAACCTTTTCCCTTTTTTTTAAGGGTACCCTAAATATTAGGGGCCGCCTTATCTTGGTGACCCCAAAAAAGACCAGAATTTAGAGGAGCGACCCTTAAACCCTAAATCCGAAACCCTAAACCCTAAACCCCAAACCCTAAACCCTAAATCCGAAACCCTAAACCCTAAACCCCAAACCCTAAACCCTAAACCCTACACCCCAAACCCGAAACCCTAAACCCCACACGAGAAAGACACCTCTATCCACGCAGGCCCAAGTCTCCAGAGTCCGGAGTCTGACACGGGCCAGTTTAGGGTTTAGGGTTTAGGGTTTAGGGTTTAGGGTTTAGGGTTTAGGGTTTAGGGCTGTGGTGGCATATGTCCCAGCTCCTGCTTCAAAAGGGCTGTGGTGTGCTTGTCTGGTCTTGTTTGAGACGTTTGGGTTTAGTGTTTATAGGGTTCAGGGTCTTGACGCTGAGCTTTCGCATGCGCTTAAGCCTTCTCCTGTATGCCCTAAACCCTAAACCCTAAACCCTAAACCCTAAACCCTAAACCCGAAACCCTAAACCCTAAACCCTAAACCCAGGTTGGTGAGGAATACGGCCCGGCAACCAAGCTCGGATCTACTCGCCCCTCGCCCTACGGCTTGGCATCCGCACCAGGCGCGGCCCCTGGACTCCTAGACTTACAGGATCAGGGGACTGAGTAAGTGGGGTTCAGGGTTTAGGGTTTAGGGTTTTGGGGTGAACGCTTTGATGAAACCATTGACTCTATCTCCTCTGTCCTTGCGAAGCTTAACCATTGATCGGTCAATGTACGTCCTCGACCTCTGATGTTGTGTGCTTGCTAACCGTGCTTGGTACAAATCTAAGCTGTCTCACCTTCATATGATTCACGATCTCGACTTCATAGAACCCCAATTAAGGTACCTATATCCCTGCATACGAGGGGAAAATGCCCCGACCCTCCAAGCCTTGTTTGGGGTTCCCGGGTTCAAGGTTTAGGGTTTAGGGTTTAGGTTTCGGCGTCTGAGAGAGCTCGGGCTTGAAAAACGTTTCAGAGTTCAGGCCTTCCCCCTGGGTTTGTGAAAGACGTGAAATACATCGGGCTGCACTCTAAACCTCTCGACGGCCAGCGCGTGCAACCAGCAAACGCTGCTGTGCGGTTCGTGCAGCTACCCGGGAGAGCCCGAACAAACCTAAGCTCCGGCAACAAAAGCAGGACACAAACCCGAAATCCTTGCCTGTCTCTTGGACTGCTGCGAGGGGTGCTTCTGCCAACCTGCTTACCTTTCCATGGCCCACCTCCGTTGCGAAAGGTGGAAGTTGGACGTGCAGGAGCTGCAGCAACGTCAACTGGCCAATGCGCACAGCCTGCAACCGGTGTCGCTCGCCAGGCACTTTAGAAGCTTTCTTCGGAGTTTGTTGAAATGTTGAGGATTTAGGGTGCTTACAAGTGTCGCAGCTCCCCGGATATGCCAGATATTCCTCGGCTTCATTCGTAGGCCACTTGCCGCAGAATCTCTGTGGTGTAGATTTGTCTGCTAGTGCCATGCTGTGAGCATCTCAAGCTCTTTCCACAAACATCAGGCGCCTGCATCGCCCCTCCACCACGAGCTCTTGACCCTAGCCTCTTGAGCCACTCGAGCACTAAGCCCCACCCATGCCTGATAAATCACCAACACGTTAGCTTAAGTCCGGGCCTCAAAAGCAAAACCCCAGATACAGGCGAAGTGACTGGCAAGATTGTCCCCTTAACCCTAAACCCTAGACCCTAAACCCTAAAGCTTAAATCCTAAACCCTGAACCCTAAACCCTGAACCCTCTCGTTCCTCTGTCCTGAATACGGACGTAGGCGACAGTGCCCCTGCCTAGGCCAGCTGCCAAGACAGGAGGCAGCCTGGGTACGGCTGAGATGGGAGTCCTTTCTTGTTGGCGGTGTAGAAACAAAGCTTCAGAAGACCACAAAGAATGGCGGTCTCAGATATTTTTGCGGGAAGCTATTGTAAGTAAATTCGATTCTAATAGAATTAGTTATTACTGTTATGTTATACTTATTATGAAGAATTCGAAAGAATTAGTTCTTACTGTTAGTAATGTTATACTTTTTATGAAGAATTCGAAGAGTCACTCGACGTTTGGGCGAAGGGTTCCCGGACAAACGGGAGCTGGGCTTCGATTTGAATCTTGGGGCAATGTACTTCCCGAATCCGAATCCTAAAGCCCCAACGCTTCTGCTTTGGGCTTTTGGGGAATAATTTGCTTTCCTGACTTCCACTAATCCTAAAGCCCCAACGCTTCTGTTGTGGGCTTTTCGGGAATCATTTGCTTTCGTGGCTTCCATTGTGGGGTGTTGTTCTGGTGCATTTTCATGTCTCCTCAGCGCGCGGACATGCCGTCAATGTGATGCCCCCCCCCCCCACCCCACTGGTTCACCCCACCCCACAAAAACAACAAAACAATAATGTCCCAGGCAGAGGCTCCGGATTTGCAGCCGGGGAACAGCATGAATGGAATGCAAGCCGGCGCCCACGTGCCGCTGAATGTGCCTCCTTCCCAGGCTTGGCGCAATCTAGCATGGAAGTGGGTTTGGGGTCAGATTTGTTGGGGTTTGGAGTGCGGGTGTAGGGTTTAGGGTTGCGGGTTGCGGCTACAGAATTCGGGTTGGGGATTTTCTTCACACTTTTCTGTTTGCCCGCTTTGAGGCGTGACGTTTAAGGCCCATCATTGTCAGTTTGAAGCCTGCTTATGCCAGTATCTTACCTTATCAAGAGGGCATAAGAGGGCCGTTACATACCCACAAACCCTAAACCCTAAACCCTAAAGAATCGAGCCCTGTCTGTCTAAAGAAGTTTTTCCAGGCCATGGGTTGGGGAGCTGCGCAGAACATCTTCGCACCCTGGCAGATCGATGGCTGACCTGTGTTGTCGCATCGCCCTAAACCCTAAACCCTAAACCCTAAACCCTAAACCCTAAACCCTAAACCCTAAACCCTAAACCCTAAACCCTAAACCCTAAACCCTAAACCCTTGACGAGTGTGTCCTCCGAGCAGCTCTAGCCAGCTGATTGTGCCCAAGAGTCCCCCTTCAGCCGAAGCCACCGACATAAGACAGTGGCTGCCAGTTACCCACCCTCCCCCCCACCCCTACACTCTTGTTCACGGGTTCCCTTACTAGGTTCCCCCGAGCTAATTCAGCCCAATTAAGGGTTATTCAAGGGGGGAACCTAGGGGGGGGGTAGTCTTGTGGAACTGAGGCGGCGTCGATGGCCGGAGCCATGCCAATGGGCATGCCTATGCCCCCGCCCCCCCCCATGCAGATGGGCGCGCCCATGACGGCCACGTGGGCTGCATAGCTTAGGGTTTAGGGTTTAGAGAATACCTCCTGAATGGCTGGGAAGGCGTCCAGAAAGTGTGGGGACGCGGGTCGCGGGGCAGGCGCGTGTGCGAGCGTGCGACCTGGCACTTGGAGCGGACGCTCTAGGTCTCATCCATCTGCGCATGGGGACCTGGGTTTATATTTACTAGCTCAATCTCCCAAATCCTTACCCTGAAGCTGGGTTCATCTGTTGGTGGTACAAATCCCCTACACCACCTATGCAGCCTTCACACCCGAAGCAGAACGCCCTAAACCCCAAACCCTAAACCCTAAACCCTGAAAGTTTCCCAGGCCATGCCTTATAACACCGGGCCTACGGTGGTGGTGCGCCCGAGCCTTTCTCCTCCGACGCTCTCATCGATGGCCGGGGCTGCCCCGCCCCCCCCACCACCCGCCAAGGAGGCGGGGCTTGGGGGTTTAGGGTTTAGGGTTTAGGGTTTAGGGTTTAGGGTTTAGGGTTCAGGTTTAGGCTTTGGGGGGTTGAAGGTCTAGTTAGGGCTGAGGTTTTTGGTTAGGTTTGGGGCTTGGGCTAGGAAGTATGACATGACTCCAGCCTACTGTTCCGCCAGCTTTTTTCTGGGAATCCGGAGGAAGGGTGGGAGGGTCCTCCTGCACAGTTTCGGGTTCTGATAAGGGCACTCCACTCAGATGTAAGATGGGCCGAAAAGCTCGGAAGCTTGCCCTCGCCCTAGCCTAGCCTTAGCCTAGCCGAGCCGTCCGGCTCCCGTACGCCCTTGTTAACTTGGCGGGTTAGTCAGGATTTGGTCCCAAAATTTAAGCTTAGCTTCAGAACTTCAAACGAGACGCTTGCACTTCATGCATGATCCGCCAAATCTGCCGTGGCAATGGCCTGTCGTTTGCGGCCTGCTGCGGGATCCCGGATGCTTTGTGCTGGGAGAATTGGGCACGCGGCCTTCGTCAGGAGGCGATGGTTTTTTGCTGCTCCGAAGATACCTCAAACGATTCGACCCGAGAGAAGCTACTGGACATCTCTGGTGCAGTCTTGAACCGGGCCGCGGCGATGGCGAATTGCCTCCGGCTGCTGCGGCCCAACTGCGAGGCGGACTTCATCCAGTCACTCATCGAGACCATGTCACCCTTGGGAATTATTTTTATTTTTGTTCATACAAAACCCAAGAGAGTGTTAAACATAATATCTTTATTAAGGTTCTAAGGGGAGTATAGGAGATGGAAGTCGGCCAGCCGGAGATGCTCCGAAGCTGGCTCCATGCTCGTCCCAGGCTGCGGGGTGGCGCAAAGGATGCCACGGCCTCATGGCAGGGTGCACTGCAAATGGCCGAGACTGCCTTGAACTGGAAGGTGCGGATGCTGGGAGACGTCTTCGAGAACGGCCCAAAGATCCTGGACTACATCCAGACGGTTCACGCTGACACTGCTCAGAAGCTCCGTGCTGCCTTCGACAGCTCGGCAGCACAACGCCTTTTCACGGAACTGCGCCGCCCTGTAAGAATGGAGACGAAACGGCGGCCAGTGCACATCGCCATGGTCGCCTCGGTCGGTGTACCCATCTTTGCGGCCAAGGCTATGGCGACTGTGCGTTCCGCCTTGTTTTTCGCAAGGCGCCGCCTGCTTCATTTCCACCTTTTCGCAGATGGGGCTGGTGTGGGCGCAGTGCACGCAGCGCTGCACGGGCTGGAGCCCGGATTGGCAGCGCGCGCCAAGCAGTTTGAGGTGCACTCAGAGGAGGTCATACTTCCTTTCTTCAACAAGCTCGCCCGCATCATACCACCGGACTGTCTGGGCTACAGCTCCAAGTTTGGAGACTCGGGCTGGATCAGGCTTCTTGCACACGAAGTCTTCACGCGGCCGCGAAACTTCACTCAGTTGATTTACGTCGATGCTGGTGACTTCGTCTTTCTCGACGACCCGGCATTGATGCTTGAGCACGCGCAGGAGTTCCGAGGGCAACAGGTGGCCGGCGGCCCCTTTGGTGGAGCCATCCCTGTCCAGGTCCTTGACCTTGTCAAGATGGAGCGGGCTTATTGGACCCGCATTGTGCAGAGGATCGTTTCCCAGGAGGTCAGTCAGCATGGGGGTGGCGCATGCGGCTTAGGCGAGGGGCACATGACTGGGGTGCTGTCCCGGATCAGTGAGCTGTGGCACGACTTTGACTCACACTGGGCAGTGGAGCCCCGCGAGTTTGGGGGCGTTCAAGGAACCGGTGGCGGGGTTCGAGATGTCTGGCGCATGCCAGCGCTCTGGGATCTGAGGGTCTACCCAGGCCTGCTCGACTGGACATCTGTTCAGGTCCACTGCCCTCTCTTCAGCGAAGGCTTCTTAAACATGATCTTCGAAGGTGAGATACCTGCTGACTCGGCTGCCTTGAAGCTTGGTAGCCCAATGGTGCCCTTTACCCTTTTTTTGGTTCTGGGTTCCCTTATAAAGCAACCAACCAAAAAAAGGGCGCCCTCATATATAACATGGCTGCTGGGCTACTAAGGAAGTGGGCGCAGCGCGTGGCCATCGAGGCCTACGACGCCGCGAGGGAGAACCGCACGCTGCTCGAAGCGGGGTACACCTCCGTATGGAGCCACAACCAGCTCCGATGCGGAAGCAAAGTCCGGGGCATCCACTTTGCTCTTAACCTCAAGTCGGTGCCTTGGGGACGAAAGGAACTTCAAAGGGGTTCATGGTTCATGAATGTACCTTCAGAGGGATGAATAGTAGAGAGAGGGTACATGACCCAAATTTTAGGAAAACACTAAATACCCCAAACCCCGAATGTGAGGGTTCGCGTGATTCCCCAAGGTACCTTGGGCGCGAGATTTCATGAACTTCTGGGCTGGCAGTGGAGCCCCTGCTTGGGGCTCCGACGTCTGGGACTTTGAGAAGAGGGCCATGACTAAGGCTTAGGGTTTAGGGTTTAGGGCTTAGGGTTTAGGGCTTAGGGTTTAGGGTTTGGGGTTTAGGGTTTAGGGTTTAGGGTACAGCCGCAGGAGGCCCAGTGCATGTGGGCCGGACTGCAGCGAAGAAAGTGCCAGCGCCAGAAAGATGCGCAGAAGTCAACTCTGGGGTTTTTGGCAGGCTAGGTGGTGAGTTTGGGGGATGATCTCCATGTTAAAGCGCGGTGTAGTAGAAGGAGCAAGAAATGAGGGTCCGAAAAAGTTCGGTCCCGAACAAGAAACACATTGAAGAGGCCTTCTTGGGGCCTTTGAAGGCCAAGTGTTGGGGCATCCTCTGTCATCCTTGATCAGCTTGCTTCGCTCGGGAAGCAGAACTTGTGCAGCGAACCCAAAAAACAGGATGCAAGCACTGGTAAGTAGCCCTCAGCCCTATGCCTATTTTATGCAGCTCGGGTGGCAAGAACAAACTCTCGTGACACCCCCCAAGCCTCAGTTCTGGCGTGTTCTGGCGTGTTCTCTGATTGGCTTGTACTTGCAAGGGAGGCTCTTGGCTTCATCAGTGGGAGTTCAGGCATAGCGTGCCTCGCAAGTAGTTAACGGGCAATGAAGGGCTGTGCCGTGCACGGTCCCCTCCCGCTTCGCAGTCCTAGTGCCACTGCGCCCACCTTCCCCTCCCACTGCTTCAAAGACGTGCCAAATCCTAAGCAAACCCTCAGAGCGACCCTCCAGTGTCGAAGCAGCCCTTGACACGGTACGGGAGTTTAGGCAGTGGTTCAGCTGCTAGGCTGGTGGCTTCTGAGTTTTTTTTTGTGCCTATAGGAGCCCGGCTGGTTCTGCCCGGTCTGCAGCAATCACAACGACGCCGACAAGTCGCACTGCACTAGGCAGGAGAGCCACGGTCGAGGCTGTACGAACCTTAAGCTCACAAGTAGCCAAGAGGGAGGTGCAGTTTATCTTCTCTACAAACCTGCTCTGTTCCCTTATCTTTTCTATTGCCATTTGATTTTCTATTCTTATATGTGATATAAAGTAAAAAAAGCATTGGGGTCTCCCTTTTTCCTCTGAAGCCTTGTGTCCCTGTTCAGCTTTGGGTTTGGGACCCCCCAGCTCTGGGCCGAGGAGTGTAGGACTTCATTAACGATAGGTCTTTCGGTTGTCTTGTGTAGAGGATATCGGAGTTATGTTCCTTAGACGGTGCAACAAAATGCCCCTGATTTGATGTGCTTAATTCCCTTTCCCTTGGGCCCTAAACCCCCTTCTGAGCAGGAAGCTTAATCAACACAGGTGCGGCGTTCCAAAAGAGACGCGCATCTCGGATTTTGGTCTGCGAGAGGGCGACTGGAGCCTCGGACTGGTTTTAGAGCCTCTGGTTAGAGATGTTTAGGGTTTTGGGATCCGAGTACAGGGTAGGTTTGTGGGTGCCATGGCGCCAGGCAGAACGGCATAGCCTTCTTCTAATCAGTGCAACGCCCCCTAGGCTGCGACACTGAAGACACCCCGAAGCCCTGTGTAAACCCAACTTCGGGTTAGGCGCGGAGCACTTCTTCAATTAACAAACAGTCTGAAAGGACGGGTCCAATTCTACGCTCGAGATGGGAACCCTTGATTCAGGATCTGCCTGGTCTGCGCGAACCACAACTTTGCTAGCAAGTCTGCTTGCAACAAGTGCAGCTCGTCAAAAATGGTCGCCGCAGATGCGTCAGGCACCCCGTGGTCTGATGGAAAAATATCTGAGCTTCCTTTGTTTTTGTTGCAGTGCCACCACCATCTCACTACTGCAGAACTGCCATTGCTTCTAGCACCAGCACTCCCACTACCCACACCAATGGCACGACGGTCAAGAGCTTTTCAAGCCAGGGGTGTCGCTTTTCGAGGCTTCTACAAGCTGAAGGCGTTAGTGAGCTTCTTATTCGCTCTTTCTCTGAGGCGGCGCTTCGAAAGAGAACGCGCCCATGATACATCAGGTGGGACACAGCCCAACCCCATGGGGTTTAGGGTTTCGGGTTTGGGGTTTGGGTCAAGTCCGAGATGCAAAAAAGGCCTGGCGCCACGAGACCAGGGAGAAAAAAGTTGCACATTTCTCTTTGTTCGGCGAACTACGCCCAAAAGCGTGTAGAACTCACTACCTCATTTCCCGACTTTTCTTCGTGGTTGTGGTAAGCTCGGGAACAAGGACCCCTTTTTTTATGAAGCAAACGAAGAGTGCCCTTGGGCTTCGGGTTGGCGCTCAGGTTGATTGTTTCGGGTTAAACCTGAGGATGAGGGAGGCTGAGGTGCAGGGCTGGAAATCCTTGCTGGTTGAGGGTGTAGGAGTTTAGGGTTTAGGGTTTAGGGTTTAGGGTTTAGGGTTTAGGGTTTAGGGTTTAGGGTTTAGGGTTTAGGGTTTAGGGTTTAGGGTTTAGGGTTTAGGGTTTAGGGCCCTAAGACTCTACCAGTTCGGGTAGGTGGGGGGAGCGCCGCTCCTTAACGTGCCCTTGCATCAAGTCCAAGGGAACGACTCCGCGACAGGTGGTTCCAGGCGTAAGTCAGAATCAGATTCGCGGCAAGAATGAGCTGCTTGGCACAATGTTTGGGCACGCACCCTTTAAACCTACGATTTGCTCAAGAACCAAGGATTATAATTTCAGAATCCTAAAATTACAATTATAAGGAATTGTGTATGTAAGATAAATGCATGTTTTTTTGGCTGGGGGGTTCTAAAGCATATAGCAATTGAAGCCCGAGCCCACCGTTTGCACCGGTCAAACAATAGCCTGGGGCTCAAGATGTCAAAGTGAATTGGGGTTAGGGTTTAGGGGTTTAGGTCTTAGGGCTTGGGGTTTGGGGAGCTGAGAGAGAGAGACAGAGAGAGAGAGAGAGAGAGAGATTCGGGGAAAGTTTGCTACGAGAGTTGCCGGAGTCAAAACCTTAAACCCTAAAGGAAGTCCTGTGGTCGTCCCGGTTAAGTGCGTGCCAGCCCACCCCGAACCGCCGAAAAACTTTTTAAGTTTAACCACCCCCAAAGCTCGCCTGTCCTAGCCTATCCTTTGTGGTGTCCTTGCCGGAAAATTGGCACCCAAGGCCACAATGTGATGGGTTGTGTTGTGCCCACAATGCCTCGACCCTGGTCCAGAAAATGCACTTAGCTGGGGCCCAGGTTGCTCCGACACCTCAGAGCCACGACTCTTCAGCTGTCCAAGCTGTGAGAAGAAGCCCGTGCACCCGAACCCTAAACCCTGAACCCAAAACCCTCAACAAAAAAGCCTGATCCTTCGCAAAGTCCCAAGGGTGCGAGATGGCGATTGGATCTGCGTCTATTGCCGCAACCACAACTATTCTCGAAGGCAGGCCCGGTCACAGTTCTGCGGGCAACACCACTTGCTTCTTGTTCGCGCTGGTCGCGCGAAACCCTGAACCCCCCCCTGCCTTCGAAGCCCTGAATGACGCCGATCATCTTGATGGCAGGACGGAGTGCAACCGCTGCAAGCAGATCAGAACCTGACGGCTGGCAATGTTATCAGTTTATAGGGCTACGGGAGACAGCAAAACTGGGGGCCCGGGCTCTGTATGCATCGTGCTCTGTACGCTCTCCTCTGCATTCCGACAGCTCTCTCTCTCTCTCTCTCTCTCTTACAATCGGATCTTTGCCCCCAGTTGGTCGCCATCTACGCAGACCGCCGCTGTTTTGTGCCAGGAAAAGGAGTCCCGAGTCGCAAGCCACTCGCCTAAACCGCCACCCCTCCCGCACCTCCTTTACAAACCTCCTTCCGTGAATCCAGCGTGAGTAGAAGTGTTGGTTTTGTTCTTGTTGATATTTATTACATGATGGCTTGTAGGCCTTCTAGTCGTTCTTTATGCCTCGATGCTGTTGGATTCTTGATCTCATGGCCTGAGCTGCCAAGGTCTTGGAGCAACCCTAAATCCATGGGCCAAGAGTAGTGATGCAATTTCCGACTCTGCATTTCACACGCTTCAGGCATCTGACAAATCTTAACCCTCAACCCTAAACCCCAACCCTCCTCCCTCCCTCCTCCCCTTTAAGGGTTCTCCAGCACCCAGAGTCACTGGGAGAGCCCGTTCAATGAACCCTAAACCCTAACCCTAAACCCTAAACTCTAAACCCTAAACCCTAAACCCTAAACCCTAAACCCTAAACCTAACGACCCCGATGTGCTGTGGCTAGTCGGGTGCCAAAAATCCCTAAACCCTAAAGCTTAAGATTTCTGCCAGGGCGCCCCGGGCTCCGCGCCGGCCGAGGCCGCGCCGCAGTTGACTCCCAAGCTGCCAGCGGCCCCAGCCTTGTGTAGGGTTTAGGGTTTAGGGTTTAGGGTTTAGGGTTTATAGGGTTTTTAGGGGTCAGGTTTAGGGTTTAGGGTTTATGGGTCTTAGCGGGGGTTTTAGGTTTCAGATTTAGCGGTTTAGGGTTTAGAGTGGCCCCAGCCTTGTGGGTTTGTGGGTCTCGGATTTGGGGTTTGGGGTTTAGGTTCAGGGATTTAGGGTTTCGGGATTTTGCGGTTTAGGGGTTTAGGGGTTTGGTGTTTACAGTTGCTTTGTACCTGAGAGAGAGAGAGAGAGAGAGAGAGAGAGAGAGAGAGAGAGAGAGAGAGTTGCAGTGCAGGCGGCCGCTGGGATTATGTAAACGCGCGGAAAGCCCCCGCCCGTGTTTGTTCTGCAGTCGGCCGGCCGCGACTATGTAGCCGAGCGGGCGCGAGTGAGTGAGTGAGTCCCGGGCCCGCGACGCCACAGCAAAAGACGGTGCCCTGAGTAGCGACCCGTGTTTTTTTCTTGCTGCGCAGCCGGCCGCTGGAACTTTGTGCATGCGCTCTCACCCTCCGCCCAGGGCAGAAGCGAACTTCCTGCAACGACTGTATGTGTTCCTTATCGATTGCTCGGTTGATTTGTGGCTTTGCTTAGTGGCTTCGTGACAGCTGCTACGCAGAGGGTGACGGTGCCGGGTGTAGAGGATGGGGGCTGATGTCGGGCATCTCCCAGCCTTATAAGCCCTCCAATCCTGGAAGCAACGACTCTAGGTCTTTCGGTAGGCCCTTGGAGTATTTTCTTGTGTTTTATCTTTTACCTTTTTGGGTTTAAGAGGATCAGATGTTGGGAAGATTCTTCAGAGGGTTTCAAGGGCCATCCTAGGACAGGGCAACGAGGAACAGAGCCTTGCCAAGGATTTGGGTGCCGGTGAATCCCCTCATCGCCAGTGCCTCAGGGTCTCCACCTCCTTGTCAAGATTTTCACTAACGCGGTACTCACTCATGTTCAGTGTTCCGTGCCTCCTTTGTGCTTGCTGATTATGACGGTCACAGGGAACCACGCACTGCGAGACAACCATGTTCATGCATATCCATTTTCAACAGCAAAGTGAGCTGCCAACAGCGCACGGCAATGTGCCGGCGGCTGCGGTGCAGAAGCCGCTGGTAGCCAAATCTGAAGTTTTGCCCCTGGGCCTCAACCACGTTTCGAGGCGCCTCCTTTTGAAGTGGTGCCGAACTTCACCGCTTGGCACTCGCAGTGGCTTGAGGCGGCATGAACTTGGACCCACGACCCTCCCTTGCCTCGTCTAAGACTCTAAGAAGTCCAACATGTAATCCATGAAAGCCAGGAGGATGCGGGACCTCGGGCCTTTCTGAGTCTGGTTTCAGCCTCTTCGTTACTCGGCAGTTTCCCCAAGTGTCACCCGAAGCGCCTGCAGGGCTTGCAACGTGCGATACTTGAAGGTCGTGCTCAGTAAAGTGCAACAGTAATGCAATTCCTCAAATAAAAGTGTATGTTCCCAGCAGTGGGGGTGGCTTCAAGGACTTCGGTGCTCGAATCAGAATGAAGCGGCAACTCGAACCCCAAAGCCCAGTCTGCCCCAAAGCCGTCGATGCAGAGGGAAACTTGGGTTACCTTACCCCAAAGCCCAACTTGAAGGTTCATAGGACTTACTAACCAATTATAGCTGTACTTCTAACCCTACTTATAATTGGGATAACCCCTATAAGGCCCTTTAGGGGTGGTATAAGTAGGGTTGTAAGTACAGTTATAATGGTTAGCAAGTCCCATGAACCTTCAAGAATGTCTGCGCAAGGCAGTGGAGTCCAAAGCGACTTCAGGAGCGAGCTGGGTGGTTTCCACCACTTGTGTACCCCGAACCCTACAAGCCTTACACGCCTTATAACCGGACCCTATAAGCCTTATAAGCCTTATAAGCCTTATAAGCCTTATAAGCCTTATAAGCCTTAGAACCGGACCCTATAAGCCGGATAAGCCTTATAACCAGACCCTAGAAGCCTTACACAAGCCTTATAACACCCCGTGGACCCCAAGTCCCAAAGTGCTTTGCTTCGATTGGCATTGGATCCTTGCCTTCAGCCCCTTGGACGATCCGTTGCCTAAATCGTTTCGAGGGGCGAGGCTCGAAACGCAAGAAAACCTGGGGCTGCTTCAACCTATACCCGGCGCTTCACCTCAGTCGCATCTAGGGGCCTAGGGGCCCTGGCAACTCGACCTTGTCCATTCTGTGCGTTCGGACCCATCTTCTGGAAGCCTATAATAGACCAGCATATGACATAGGATGGTATGTTGGAAGAAAGGATAGTCGGCTTTTGTGCTGTTTTCATGTGGTGCTTCGACCAGAATATGACATACTATGGTATGTTGGAAGAAAGGATAGTAGGATTTTGTACTGTTGATGATTGGGGCATCCACGGCAGGGCTTACTGCCTTGCACTTTCATAGTGCCGAGGTTTCGAGGTCTGGGCATAGTATATGCATTGCATCCCTGTTCATTGCAACCCTGTGGAGCGCGTCTGAAGGGTACCTGCCATGCAAACACCTTATGCCGGAGGTCAAACGAGCAATCCGATAGAGAGAAGGGACTCACGCAACTCTCGCACGCCCGCGCGAAACTCAATGCAGATGGTTCTGATGAGCCCTCAGACCTGAGATATGGCCGTTGTACATTTTTAATCTTTAGTCAGTAATGTCTATAGTAATTTCATTTTGCTATTCTTATCATGTGGGGGTACTACGATCCTTATTAAGGGCTGTTAGTAGCAGGCGGAACATCCCAACCCTAAACCCTAAACCCTAAGTCCAAAAAACAAAACCTAAACCCTAAACTCTAAACCCTAACCCCTAAACCCTAAACCCTAATAAACCCTAAACCCTAAACCCTAAACCCTAACAAGCTTTACCAAGCCGAAGGCCAAGCCCAGGAGCCTAAATCACCCCGGCCTCCACTTGGAGGTTCATGGTACTTAGTATCCCAACTATAACTGTACTTATAACTTAATTTATAAGTGAGATAGAACTGCACTTAATATTTGGAACCTCCAAGCAGGACCCGACTCTGTGGGGCCAGATGCGGCCCGGGGCCTGCCACGACTACTGGTTTGGGTTTAGGGTTTAGGGTTTAGGGTTGAGGGTTGAGGGTTGAGGGTTGAGGGTTGAGGGTTGAGGGTTGAGGGTTGAGGGTTGAGGGTTGAGGGTTGAGGGTTGAGGGTTGAGGGGTGCGGGTTTAGAGAGAAAGGGTTGAGGGTTGAGGGTTTTGCCTACACTCAAGCAGTCGAGTCGGGCAGTCGAGTCGGCTGCCAGAAAATCTGAGCTTAAGATTGTTCTGGTCTTCAAGCTTCCGAAGTTTGGCGGCCATATTCCAGACTTTCCTCCGACATCGCGCAGACACCATCGGTGCCACCCGCTTGTAGAGGCATTTTGCTTTGCGCCTGCCGTGGTCAGGTCGAGACCCACGGCGAGGCAACCCTCAGATGTCAGTCTGGTTTTCACGTTTGTAGAGGGTACCTCTACCTCCAGGTCTTGCCGGCACGGACCGAATGTGCTTTCAGCGATGCTGATTCGCAGCTTCCTTTCCGGGAGGTAAGATTGAGGTGCACCATCCAAGCTTGTGTGCTTCTCATCCCCCAGTTTCAGCGTACTCGGATGTCGGCGTGGAGCAGCTCCACTCGTGGAATACCCCAAACCCTAAACCCTAAACCCTAAACCCTAAAGCCTAAACCCTAAATTCAGTGCATACCAGTACTAGAGATGCTGCGCATGCCCACTTACCGACCACAGGCAGGCCTTGTGAAGATAGAGGCTCGGCTCCAGGCTTCACACATGAGTATCTCTCAAAATAAGGATAACTATCCGCTTTTCTACCCAACCTAGAATCCCCTTAATAGGGGCCTAAACCCTAAACCCTAAACCCTAAACCCTAAACCCTAAACCCTAAACCCTAAACCCTAAACCCTAAACCCTAAACCCTATTTTCGGAACCCCCCAAATCGACGTTCAGCCTTGACAGGCCATTTGGTGGCTGGCCCAGTGCTCCCTGGCCAGTGCATCTGCCATCATGGAAGAGCTGGACACTCAGAACCTCGGTTTAGGGTTTAGGGTTTAGGGTTTAGGGTTTAGGGTTTAGGGTTTAGGGTTTAGGGTTTAGGGTTTAGATACTCCTTGCACCTTGACACCCTAAAAACAAAACCACGAGACCCTGTAAGTCCCCCCCATGAATCCCGAACTTAAAGGCTTGCACAATTCGGAGATGTGCTACCTCGTGCGCCCTCAGCTTTCCCGGAGCACCTCTTGCGGTCGCGGAACGGCTTAGGGCTTTGGATGTTTTTGGGTTTCGGCATATTATGTTGCGCTTTTTTGTGCGGGGGGAGGGGGGGGGGGGCGGTTTAGGGTTTAGGGTTAGGGTTCAGGGAGTGTGTTGAGCACGGAGGCAAGGCTACGCGCTGCTGCATCTCGAGCGACAGCCTCAGCCTTCAACCGCAGGTTTTAGGTTGGTTTCTGGACCTGCTGGGGAGGGGTTTGTTGCGGGCCCGGGCTGTCTTATCGGCCAACCGAAAGGGTTACGAAGCTGCGACACTGCATCCCACATAGCCCAGAAACCAGAGGCATACCTTCGCCGTGTTCGTGCTGCGCTGAGACGGACGGCTTCAACATTATGTTGGGGGTTGATCTAACACTACTTACTTGTGGGCCCTCCCCTTTCCGGTACATTGCTTGTTTGACAGGGATTCCACGGGGCCTAAAACTCTTAGGGATTAACCCGCCCCCCCCCCCCCCCTTCCGAGGTTGAAATTCAGGGTGAGGAGTTAGTCGCAGCTTCAAAAACATACTCTGAACCCGTATGACGTTGATCGTTCCGGGTCAGACAGCATTGAGGGGAACATGCCCCACATCAAAATAGAAAAGACCGTCTTGAATGTGCAAGCCAAGACGACCTCCCACAGCGAGCAAGTACCAATTAGGTACAACAGGCTTCTCTTTGGGAATACGGTTTGTATTCCCCCTCATTGGGCTTCAAAAGGAAGATCTTGTTTGGGACTCTTCAGTGGGTTTTACAGGCCAACCTGGAATCCCCAGCATTGCGCAAGTGCTAGCAGTCATTGCCGCGAAAGGTCCTGAAGGCCACATGGAGCGCCGTCGCCTCCTCAGCCATTCTAAACCCGAAACCCTAAACCCTAAACAATCCTACGCCTGGCCCGTTTAAGCTGTAGGCACAGACAAAAAGCGTTTCGCGCTATGGATCCGGTGCGTGCGTGTGGTGCACACATCAGTACTCCCCTCCCCCGACTATACCCCCCCCCGTATAGTTGTACTATAGTATACGGGGAGTATTTGATATTAGGGGGTAGGGGGGGATATAAAACAGTATTAGGAGGGGATTAGTTGTCTGGGTCAAGTCCACTTCTTTTGTCTCGAGACTGTCAAAAATAGGTGCATCGTGGGATGCAGAAGACCCGTTTCCACGTGGCTCCGCGACCTTGTGGGTTGCCGTTTGAAGTCCGTTTTCGAGTGCAATTCTCGTGCAGGTGAAGTCCGTGTTTGTTCTCTCAGTTTGAGCTTTGCCTTTAAACAGTCGAGCACAGGTCTCGCCGCTGCTACGCCCTGTGTCGGCGCCAGCTTCATCCATCGGCATGGGCCTTGGCATTCGAGTGAAGATGAGGTCGCGCAGCATTTTATTGTGCTGGGCGGTTTCTACGAGTCTTGCCTCTGTTCGGGATGTACATATACATGGATTCCTTCATATGCAGCAGACGCAGCACGTGCTCATGTCCCCGCACTCGAAACAACTCCTGGTTCCGGTTTTGTGCCGCCCTCAACAGTAGATGGCTTAGTGGTTCTTGGTTTCATTCCGTAGTTGTGCGCCGCCCTCAGAAGTAGTGGTTGGCCCTGTTGTGTCATCACAAGCCAAGGATGACGTAGATGTTTCTGCAACAGTTGACGGGCTTCTCATACGGCCTTTCGTGTAGGACGGGCAGGACGGCGTCAGGAGTCATTGGGGATTTATGTCGAGATGGGCTTTCTGCACGATCCACTGGTTAGGAAGCAAGGAGAAAGGAGAGTTGAAGACAGGGCTGGGCAAAGGAAGCAACGGAAGAACCCTGAACCCTAAACCCTGAACCCTAACCCTAAACCCTAAACCCTACACCCTTGGGCAAAGGAAGGAAAGGAAGAACCATCAAGTTGCCTCGCGAGGCTCCTTGGGCGAAGTTGGCTCATCTGGGCTGCGCGGCGTTGAGCACCTGCCTTGGGTGTCGGGTTTAGGGTTTGGGGTTTAGGGTTTAGGGTTTAGGGTTTAGGGTTTAGGGTTTAGGGTGTGGGGCGACATCTGGCAGTGGTTTTGGGGGCGTGGATGGAAGTTCGGGCTCCAAACACGTGCAGTTCATCGCAGAAAGGGCTCTGGGGTTGCATGCCTGAAGTCGACGCAAGCTGGTCAAAGATGGTTCGTTCAAAGTGGCGGGTTGGGGTTTCGTGGCAGTGCAATGGCCTTCCTCCTGATGCTGCTATCTCAAACACGAAGCAACCCGACAGCCGAAACCCCGGCACCCGCAGCCGGGTTGCTTAAGAAAATGTTTCGAATTTATCGCTGATCCCTAAGGCAGACGATAAGGTGGCGGCTGCAATTCAGGAGAGACGAGGAAAACTCCGAGTGGCTGAGAGAAGAACCGAAACAGCCCCCAAGACCACGCCTCTGAGTTCGAAGCCTCAAAGCATCAAGGCCTGGCGCTGTGACCTTGTACGACCACTGGCTGAAAGGCTGCAGCGAGCGATGAGGGCGTTGAGGGCTAACGTAGGGTCGATAGGCTAAGGGTGGCATACAGTTCGATAAATGCCCCAGAATGCCCAGCTTGTAAGTACATCCACATGGTACTGAATGCTATTGTGCATAGTTGTGGGATATTAGGGGCTGCCATCAATCAGGCCAGGCCTCTTTCCGTCAAGTGCAAGAGCAATCAACCACCAGTATGAGCATGTCTTCCAGGACCCTGCATATTCCAGCGGCCGCACGGCTGGATCTGATCCCGACAACCCTTTAAAAGCCCTAAATCCCTCAGACGCGCCCCGATTGCCAGCCCAGCTGCTACGATGTGGGAGGTTGGCATTGCTCCGCGGCGGCTCCGGGGCTGTTTGGCTTGGAGACTGCCTGTGCCCCAGCATGGCTGCATCAAACAAAAAACGCTGCGGCCCCGTTACTGATAGAGCTGCCCAAAGCCTGAACCCTGACCCCTAAACCCCAAATCCTAGAACAGCACGGCAACTAAGCGCTCTGGAGCCGGTGTGAGTGCATTTAGGGCGCGAAACCTTTGGCAGAACACGTGGGCAGGTGCGCGGGGCGGCAGAGCTTGCAGCGTTGCGGAACCGAAGTGTGCCCGTGGGGCTGGCATGCTCGAGGTCTTGTCGCTTCCGAGCGTGTTTCACTTCAGAGGGTGCTCAGGAGGTTTCTGCCTGTCATCAGGGTTTCGGGTTTAGGGTTTAGGGTTTAGGGTTTAGGGTCAACAGCCAACCTTCCGGGTAAAAGCACGACCTGGCCAGGCAGAGGTGCAGAGGGAGAGCTTGTGCCAGTTCATCCTGGCCCATCGGCTTCCCTTGGTGGCGCCTCGGCCACTCTTCAGGAGCCTCGACCCTCTAGTTCCAGAGTCTAAAAAGCATCAGTTCGGCGACGCCATCCATGCCGCCGGCATCAGTTTAGGTTTGTTTTTTTGTTTGCAGAATTTGCGGAGGCTGTGCGATTCCTAGGGGTTCCCTGGTGCTTTCAAAGGGTCTGTCAGGGCTCCCCGACGGTGCCGAGGATTGGAACGACATCTGCACCAAGGCCGGATGCCTCAAAGCAGGAGTTCTAGTTGCATGAGCCTTAATGTGGTCCCTAACCTCCCTTGCCCTGAATGTGTGGTAGGGTACATAAGGTGCAGATGAGGGTCTCCTTTTGCGGGGGGACCATGTAGCTACCCAAAGAGAGTTGAAATCCCTTCAGGCGGCGGCGGTCCTGCCGCAATCTTGGAGATCTTGGGAACTTCAGGCCATGGCAGATTATCAGGGCGACCTAAATGGGCGGGAAGCTGTGATGATTTCTGCCTCTCATGAGAGAACGTGAGGGTCGCGAAGTTAAGAGGATCTCGGGGTGACAAGGAACCCCGATCCTTCCGGCGCAGGATCCACTAGATGAGCCTGGCAAGGCATACGTCCTCCAGCTACGCTCTCAGTCTCAAGAATGGGGGTCAACGTAAGCGGAGGAATGTGTCGTTTCGGTTTGAGGATGGCGCTTTTTGTACGGAGGCTTGCAACAGATCATGAGTTTACATTGCTTGCTGCGGAGACAGGCACGAACCCACTTTGAGCCCCTCTGCTGGCACTGCATCCGAAGAAGCCCACGCTGCAGGGAACACCCATGATTCGCCACTCCAGTGTTCTGTTCCTTCAATTTACAAGACCACCATGCGGCTTGTAGAAAGCTTCACACGTAGCATCCCCGAACCTGAAACCTTACAAGACCTGTGCCCCCGATGTGCCCGAGCTGCTAGGCCCTTCAAACAAGTTCCTCTTTTGGATTCGCCACTGAATGAAAATCAGGGTTCCCCTGAAAAGCAGACCACAGTTCAAAGAACTGCAAGCAACACCCTATTATACTCCACGAAGCCGTGAACTCCTAAAACCCTGAAATCCCTAAACCCTAAACCCTAAACCCTAAACCCTAAACTCTAAACCCCGAAAGAAGGTCTTCTGGCCGCGGCCGCTGCTTGTCCCACCTAGGCGCCTCCTTGGTTGGCATTGCTTCGGGCGGGTCTTACGGGGGCTTTATGAGGTTTGAGAAGGGTTTGATTGTGAAACTATTATTAAACCCCCCCATAGGCCCCTAATAAGGTTTGAAAACGGTTTGATTGTGAAGTAATTATTGTGAATAGATCGTCGTGAATAGATCTTTTAGGCTTCGCGAGGGATGTTTGGTGTTCTGTAACTAGGTCACTGCACTCCCTGGACGACATCCAGCAACCTGCATGAACTCCCTGACCCTACCCCAAAGCACGGAAGCTCCTGGGGGGAGTCGACGACACAAACTGTCAAGCAAGAGAGCATGCTCATGCGGAGAAGCGCAGGCTTTTGCGAGTGCTTTCCGCCGTACCGGGGGAGGTTCTGCGAACATGTGGAGCCTGGCAAGAAGGACTACTGTGAATGCCGTGTGGGTCGACCGGTAAGTGGAAACTCAGGCTACGATTGTTTTTGCGTAAGGTGAGTGCGAATGGTTCGGGTCGTAGGTTGTGAGGCCCATCTCAAGCAAAAGCCACCACAACTTGTTCAGAGCCTTGCCTCAAAATCTCAAACCACTCTGCGGAGGACAGCTCGCGAAAGTACCGAGCTGTGCTGCACTACCTGGTGGGCGTGGTGCCCAAGAAGTTTCCAAGTCCGAAATCCGACATCCGTCCACTTCCAGCTTTTAGCAGTGAGTCAGCAGCGCACAGCACAAGGCTTCGCGTCCTTATTGAATCCTCCCTGCCCCAAGCCCTGAAGTTCTTTAAAGAACCTTAGCTGCAACACCCGATACCCGAGACCTGAGTCCCCCCCAAAAAAAAGAGCTTGTTGCAAGGGGACAGGGAGAAGCTTCTGGCAGACTTCGAACGGACGCTTCCGATCCTGTGGGAGAGGCACGGTTCCGGCGGGGTGACATGTGGTGTGGACATATGGGGGTTTACGAGAATAGGGGACCACCAATATAGACCCGCAAAGGGTAGAATTGAATGAGAATAAGGACCCCATTAAGGTACCCCGAATTTCGTAAACCCCCATATGATTCGAGCGCCGTTGCTTTGTATGCAATTTGGGTGAAGATGGGTGAAGGTTCGGATGTTCTCCTTATACTAACAGTCCTTAGTAGGGATTAGAACAGGGGGTCCTAGAATCCCAATTAAGGACGTTTTAGTGTAAGGGGGAACATCTCAAGGTGAAGGCTCGGTTCCGTAGGGTTTGGGTTGGAGTACTTCCTTGGGTGGTTGAGGGCTTCGGGAGGCGTCGATGAGTCGTGCTTGCTGGATTCCGGTGATGTGTGCTTTTGTTTCGCCTGGGCAGCTACAGCTTCAGCGGGTGTTAGTCGTTAAGCTCTTAATTGTGGAGGGGGCTCCAGTGCATCCAAGCAAACGGTCACTCCCTGCGCTTTGGTGGGTAATTAGGGATGCCCCTTTTCGAGACCTGAAAACCATGCATCCTTGCAAAAGCTTGGAGACAAGTTTGAACAATCGCCGTTTCTTCTTGCGTAGCTTGATTGGGCTGACTTCCCCTTGTTTCGGGGTGTTTAACGGGCATCTTGAAAGGTGCGGGGCCTAAAGATCAAAATACTGCGGCCACCTGCAGAGCTCTTTGCTACTTTGCTTAAGCCGCCCTCCCAAAAAAAGGCCCTGAGCGCAGAAGGTTCATGGTACTTACTAGGCGTACTTACAACTAGTTAAGGGGCTAACATAAGGGGGTTATAGGTACAGTTATTGCGGGTTAAACAAGTACCATGAACCTCCAAGCGAGCGCAGAAGGTTCAACAACCAGGAAGACTACCCGGTGGTCGTTTTTCATGACGGCATGTCCAAAGCCAGCCGGCAGCCGAGTGGATCCATATGTGTCGGGCTTCGGGCGTTGCGATCATGGACTGCTACGAGGAGGATCGGGGCGCTTAGCAAATAGGGACATGAGTACCTTAATTGGGGTTATAGGATTTAAGTAAGTATAAGTATAGTTACCTAAAGTATAACCCCGCTTACTAAGTCACCTGATCCTTTAAGTAGGTCTTCAGGCGTATGCTCGCTTTTGGCTTGAGGCTTGTGGGGTTTTCGGAGTGGGAGGCAATTGGTTCGATGGCATCTTTTGAGGGCTACCCCAAACCCTAAACCCTGAACCCTGAAGCCTGAACCCTAAACCCTAAACCCTAAAGCTGCAGGTCGCAAGCGCATCTTGGAGGCCCTCGGTGCCATTTGGGTAGGACAAACGAGTTGCAAGTACCCAGGGTTTAGGGTTTAGGGTTTAGGGAGGACCCTGGGTGGTGTTATCTTCACAACACCACTCAACAACTGCTTGCTAAGTCCCCCAATCCTTATAAAGTAGGAGCTCAGTTCTGGGGAGTTGGGGGGAAGTGGTCCACAAATCATGATTTCGCGTGTAGAGTGGTCCTTTGCACTCGAAGAAGGAGGCGTGCTGTGCCTGATAGAAAGCCTTGTGCAGTCCCGATACTCCCCTCAAGAATTGCGTCTCCTTGAACACATGCTGGGCTCTGCGCTCACATCCAGGCATCATCGAACCGAATATGGCCATCACCTCGGCATGTTGGTGGTGTTTGCGGTGAGGAGGTAAGGTAATAGTAATAAGAAAAATACGAATGTTAATAGTAATTGTAATAGTAATAGAAATAGTAATAGTAATGGAAAACAGTAACAGTAATTTAATAGTAATAGTGATAGTAATGGTAATGGTAGTAGTAATAGTAATAGTACTAGTAATAGTAAGAGTAAGAGGAACAGTAAGAGTAAGAGTAAGAGTAAGAGCAATAGTAATAGTAGTAACAGTCATAGCAATAATGGTAATAGGAATAGGAATAATAGTAATAGTAATAGTCATAGTCATAGTAATAGGAATAGTAATAGAAATAGCAATAGTAAATAGTAAATAGTAAACAGTAAATAGTAAATAGTAAATAGTAAATAATAAATAGTAAATAGTAAATAGACATAGTAATAATTGTAGTAATCGTAGTAGTCAAAGAGCTGCGGGTTGGAAAAGGGTTTGCGGCTTAGACGACTATCGGCTGGGTGGGGCAAGGGCACCCCTGGTGCAGTGCACCTCTTGTTTGAGACTTTTGAAGGCCAGTGGAAGGAGAATGAGGTAATTACCCTTAAGCCCTACACCCGAAGCTGTAAACCCTGGAGGTGCGACCAAACTCTTGCAACCAGACTGCGCAAGCCCTGAACACAGGGGTTTAGGGCTTAAGGGTAGAGGGTGGAGGGTGGGCTTCAACAGCCCGGATGCAAACAAAAAGGTGGGCTTCAAGCATCATTGGCCACCAAGGTTTGCCTACGTGGAGGACTTCAAGTCCGTCCCTGCTGTTTTCAAGGCGGCAAGATTCGCGAGCCGAAGATCTTTCAATTACAACCATGGAAGCCTTACAAGCATTCTGCCCAACATGGGGAAAATGTGCTCCGCAAATGTAGAAGTCATACACACCTCTACAAGCCCCAGGCCCCTCCCCCCCTGCATTGAACCCTAAACTTGCCCTAAACCCTAAACCCTAAACCCTAAACCCTAAACCCTCAACCCTCAACCCTCAACCCTCAACCCTAAACCCTAAACCCTAAACCCTAAGCCCACCAGTTCTTGGTGCTGCAGGGCCGGATCGAGCTCGAACTTGGCGGCTACGGACTCGGCTACCGTGGCATGTGCCGCTTCAGGACCGCGCCGAGGGCTGATATTTCAATTTCCTTTGGGCAGCTTCCAGGATGAAGCCTGGGTTTAGGGTTTAGGGTTCAGGGTTTAGGGTCTAGGGTTTAGGGTTTAGGGTGGGCTTATGCATCGACTCCCCAAAGCTATGCCAGGATTCGGGGGCGCGAGCGGTACTATCACCGCCCTTGTCTGCAGGTCTGGGCCCATCTTTGTGCAGCCTGTCATGAAGGGCTTCGACTACGCACTTGCCCTCAGACGTTGTCAAAGCGGAACTTGCGGCTGTGTTACCAGCACACCACCACTACGACACTTGACTCACATACCGTCCTTCAGGGGCTCCCTAAACCCTAAACCCTAAACCCTAAACCCTAAACCCTAAACCCTAAACCCTTTCACCCGGCGACTCCTTGAGTTGGGCAAAGCCCCAGGCGCAATCCCTGTTTGAAGCTCCTAGCCGCCCCGAGCCACAAATCTTCAAGACAGGCTTGTCAAGTTTGAGGGAAAAACTCTTCACTCTTTGCCATGTTGCCTAGATTCGAGCACCGGGATGCGCCGGATGCTCAACCGCCCCCCGCCCCCCCTCCCTCTACCCGAATCTCACACCAAGTGACTTCCTCTGCTCGTTCTGGCCGCAAGGCATGGACTCTCGACACCGACGGCTACTTCCCAGCAGACATTCTCTCCGATCCCTTGGAGAGGCGCCACCTCCTCGTTCCCAGAGAGCAAAAAAGCCGTCGCACTTTGTGGTTAGTTCAGCGATGTCCCCGAAGTTGCTAAGCATCTCGGCCTCAAATCGTCAGCCCAAAGGCTCTGTTCTACAAACATCTAGAGACACCTTGAATTCCCACCCTTGCTCCTTAAATCCTTCTCCGCCAACTTCGAAGCTCGCGCGCATAAACCGTGCCGTTCGCTTCTGCGTGGGGCGGCAGAGGGTTTTAGCAGCCAATTGAGTTCACAAGGGTTTTAAGAACGGACCTTTGGAGGGTCAAGGTCAGCACCTGCAACCGGTTGACTTGGCCAGGATGTGGCGCGAAGACCGCGCCGCGCTGGCTTGTTGGGGACACCCCGGGGCTGCATGTTTGGAGTCCTAAGTAAAGCCGACTCTTGAATTCAGAGAGTTTCAAATCCTCGGCTCCAAGATAACCCCTCGGCAAAACCCCGGAAAGCCAAGAGAAGGGGGGCAGTGTCTCTCTCTGGAGCTCCCGCGAGAAGGGACAAGTTACGAAATGGCCCGTGCGCGTCTGACTGAGAAGCTTCAACTGTTTCGCATTTAGTGCTGTTACTAGGTAGGTGGTTAAGCACAACCCGGTGGCATTCCTCAACATTGATCCTGAACCTTAGCTCAGCACACCTGAACCCTAAACCCTAAACCCTAAACCCTAAACCCTAAACCCTAAACCCTAAACCCTAAAATTAGCCGTTTGGCCGAGTTTGGCCCACCTTGGTGTCAGGTCTACGGCTACTCGCATGTGTCTCGGGACCAGGCGTCAGCCGTCCGGGGCTTCGCTGCACATCGAAGGGGTCCGCTTGCAGTGCCAAGGGGCAGGGACAATGAGAGCCCGAAGACCAGCCTTTCTATTATATCCCCCTTGGAAAGTATTTTCATATTTTTGTTTGTATAAAACCCAAGAAGATTTTAAACATATTTTTGTTTGTTAAGGTTCTAAGGGGAGTATAGCTTTGAAATATATAGTTGACCCGAGAAAGAGATGGCCAGGTCGACAGCAAGAGACGGAGAGGCGGAGGGAGTTGACACTATATATATACATATATGCACGTACTGCCATTGGCCATAGCGATCATAGATATTCATAGAGATATTTCACGAATGTTCTGGGTAGAGGTTTTCATCGACGAAAGCAGAGAGAGACGCCGAAAGAGGGAGCGGCAAGGAGCCTGAAGCCCGCATCACCCCATCCAAGGTCCAGCACTTCTGGGAGTTCTGCCGTTTGTACTTTGAGCCGCCTTTGCACGCTTGTCCGTCCTAAATCCCAAACCCTAAACCCTACACCCTAAACCCTGAACCCTGAACCCTACACCCTAAACCCTAAACCCTAAACCCTAAACCCTACTCCCTACTCCCTACACCCTACTCCCTGCACCCTACACCCTACTCCCTACTCCCCAAACCCCTAACCCCCTAACCCCCTAACCCCCTAAACCCCTAAACCCCTAAACCCCTAAACCCCTAAACCCCTAAACCCCTAAACCCCTAAACCCCTAAACCCTAAACCCTAAACCCTAAACCCTAAACCCTGCCTGCGCATACGCTAGTTGTGAGAGTCGAAACCCTAACCCTATAACCTTCTGGTTGAAGACTTCTGGGGTTTAGGGGGGGTATGCTTGGTGAAGGTGTTCAAGCCCTCTCAACCAGCCTCTGGCTGGACATGCGTACCTGACGCTACCCATGCACCTTCAAGCTCGTTGCGTCGTTCCGGGCTCATGGCAGGTCAAAGGGGATCGATCCAAAGGCCACCAAGATGATGCGAAGACTCACGGCCAGGGACTTGGATCAAGGTGCTTCTGTTCCAGTGCGGTGCCCCTCGAGACCTGAAGTACTTGGTGATGTGCATGTTGCGATTTCCCTAGAGATGACGTGAAGGTAGAAACAGCGACCCGAATCATCAGCTGCTACAGTAGGCGGGCGCCAAAGCGAGCGTCGAGAACCTCTGACCCTCACCTTTGCAATTCACTGACGCCTATGTCAAGCCCCAGGATGCCGTGTTGACTTGATGACGGGTTTAGGTTGTAATGTGGTATCCTGATTAGTGTGGGGGGGGCCCCCCCCCCCCAAACTAAATCCACCCCCGCAATAGTGTCACCAAAAAAAAGGGACCCCCCCAAACTAATTTTCGGCCCCGGGCCCCCCCCACCGGCTCCTCTTCATTTCCTCTTCGCTCCTCTTCCCTCTCCTCTTCCTCTCTCTCTCCTCTTAGGTAATTGAGCTCAGGTAAGCTCAGATGAGCTCAGCTCAGGTAAGCTCAGGAAAGCTCAGGTAAGCTCAGTAATTAAAGCTGTTCTCTTTTTTCTCTCTTCCGAAACCCATGCCCGAAAAACTTTACTGTATTGTGGGGGGGCAATCGAATTTTTGTCTCCTGAATAATTTTTGGAAAACTTTTCATTATTGGAGGGGTCCAGACTAATCAGGATACGACATTAGGGTTTATAGGGTTTAGGGTTTTAGGGTTTTAGGGTTTAGGGTTTAGGGTTTAGGGTTTAGGGTACCCTGTGGAGCTTCGGGAGGTGGAAAGGTTTGGACCTCAAACATGGCTCGGGAAGAGGGGTGGACATGGCCTGTAGGCTGTAGGTAATAGGTAATAACGCATGCTTATAGGCAAGAATGTATGCTTGTTTGTTGGAATGTTTTATACCACAGAATTTACTTGTTTTTAGGGTTTCTGACGAAGCTGCGCTGCAAGGATGCCCTGGTCTTACGGGACACCTACTGGCACGAGTGGAACCGCGTGCTCTTCATGCGCCAGCCTTACAATTGGGGGTTTAGGGTTTGGGGTTTAGGGTTCAGGGTTTGGGGTTTCGGGTTTGGGGTTTGGGGTTTGAGGTTTACTCTACTGGTGCTGCATGGCGTATGAGTTGGGCCACGAACGCGGCAAAGGAACGACATTGAGATCACCAAGCTGTCCTGGTTCCAGAGCCCACAGTACCAGGATCCAACAGCTCGACTGCTTCTTGCTGTGCACGCCATGGCAGTCATAAACTCAAAGGATTTCGGGTTTGAGTGACGTCCTTTGTGCATACACTGCTGCAGCCAGGACTTCTTTGAGTTTTTGGACTCCGTCGGAGGGCTGCTTTGCTGCATGTGTGCAGCTTGCTTCGCTGAGTGATGCTGAGTGGCTATTCACTACTCCACGACAAAGTCAGCAGGCGTCGGAAGCTCGCATGTAGATTCGCTGTGCAGGAGAGGAAAAAACTCTAACTCTGAAGAGGTTGATGCCCCTACTCAACTTGTCCAAGCTTGTGCTGCTGATCTCCTCGCGGAGCGGTCGCCATACGAACCATCTTCCCCTCATCTCTTTCAGAGAATGGCCCGCTATCAAGCCCCAAGTCCGCCGGAAGGACCTGGCGAACACCCCTTTAAACCCACCCGAAAGGCTGAACCCCTCAAGCCACAGTGGCTAAATCACACTGAGCCTGGACCCCGCAGTCTTGGGTCTAAGGGCTTGGGGTTTGGACTGGGTTCGGGGTTCCCTCGCACCCTTCAGGTTCTGGCTCTACCGCTGGGGTGACCATGCAGCGCGACGCCTACTGCAAAGGAAGGGGTTCAGGGGTTAGGGGTGAGGGTTGAGGGCTTAAGGGCTTAAGGGTCGACAGGGGCTGAGATCAAGCGCATGCATCGAGAATGAAGCCCTACTTCGAGGTTCGGACCATTGCGGTGGCGCTCTTCTTGAGCCCCGAACTCCTCATGAGGAGTCTTTCGTGGCGGGGGGGATGGGGGGAGGGTTTGGGGTTCGGGGATGTTTGGGATGTAGCGTTTAGGGTTAAGGAAAAACTTACTTTCGCATCATCTGAGAACTGTCCATGTAGATGAAATTCGAAATTTTGGTGGTTTTGCTCGAGAGGTTCATGCCAGGAAGACGGTGGGAGAAGCCCCATTGGTTCAGCATGTGTGTGTGTGGCTTTGGAAGTCAAAGGGAGAGAGAGAGAGAGAGAGAGAGAGAGGGAGAGAGGGCGAGAGAGAGAGAGAGAGAGGAAAGAGAGAGAGGGAATTAGGGAAAGAGGGAAAGAGGGAAAGAGGGAAAGAGGGAAAGAGGGAAAGAGGGAAAGAGGGAAAGAGGGAAAGAGGGAAAGAGGGAAAGAGGGAAAGAGGGAAAGAGGGAAAGAAAGAAAGCAAACAAGCAAGAGAGCAAGGTTTCTCAAAACCATGGCAGCTCATAACGGTCATTGCGGGCAAACAAGACTGCTGATGACTCCTCCATCTTGAAGTGTAGGCATCGCACCCGCTGATACACCTGCTGGGGAGGATGCGTGTGCCCTACGGTCACCAGAACACCTGCCGCTGTCAGCCGCTTAAGTTGGAGCAAGGCTCAGAGGAGATTTGCGGGCAGATGCGTTTGTGCGTTGCGTGATGTTGTGTGCTTGGTTGCCTCGTTCAGCTGAGTTGCCAGCACGAGGTTCATGTTTATCTCCTATCGCTTTCGGGTTCGCACAAGTCAAGGTGCGAAGGAGGATCGCCTAAAGTTGTAACTCGCACCCGCTCTGCCCTGCCGCGGGGCAGCTAGGCCCTACATACTGATAAACACCATCAACCCACAACCCCGAAACAAATTGGAGCAGCAAGAAGTTGTCAGCTAGGCGGGTGGCAAGCAAACATCCTTAGGCGGTGACGACCGCCCCTCCGAAGTTTGCGTGCGCGCCTCTGCCTCCGACTGGCGCGGGCCTCGAGAAGCGTTGGTGGCAGACAGGGTTGTATGGAGGGTGGCAGAATGTTGCATAGAGTGAGGTTTTTGTGGGAGCGGGGGGGGGGGGGGGGGCGGAGATCAGCTTCGGGTTAAAGTTCGTGGAGCTTCCGGGTTCAGTGGTTCGGGTTTGGTTTAGCTTTTCCGGGCCCGCGGCTGAGAACATGGTTCAGGGTTCTTGCATGAGCTGAGAGACCTTTCGGGGCTTGGCGGGGTGTGGCTCAGAGTTGAGGGTTCACAAGTTTTAGCGATTCGCTTTCAAGGCTTGCGGTGCTTAAGAAGATCGTGCTGGCCATGGGAAGTGGGAATTTCTGGGTTCCCGGTGTGTCGTTTCTTCTTCTCTTCAGCGGCGGGAATTGACGAGGTCTGGGCTGTGATTGGCTTCTATAGGTCAATGGAGGAGCAGAGAACTCTTGAAACGAAAAAAGACAAGAGTTCCCGGGCGCGGCGCGCTGATCCTCGAATGGCCAGCCCCTCCAGGTGGCGCTGCATCCCAGCGTCCGAGGTTTCCGCCGTGCCGCCAGGAGAGTTTGGGAGCCGGGCGTTCGTGTCTTTGGTTCGTCAGGAAGGTCGTAGAACTTCATCCTGCATGGAAGCCCACAGTCCTTTTGTTGACCATGACTCATGTCTCTGGCTGTTTGGGGCCTTCTCGTTGAAAGCGGCTACTTGTACCTCGCCAGTTTTCTTCTTGCCGTCTCCACGACTTATCTTGCACAATCAGGGCTCCGCATGTTTCAGCCCTTTGCATCTTTATCCTCGTGTATTTCCGCCAGATAGCACAGGCCTTCGAGCCATCTGCAATCCGCAACCCATCCCCCAGACACTTCAATCTGCGCAGGAACCATTGTCGCTTCCGGCGAGGTTGAGACAGTGAAGGAAGAGATTCTGTTTGGCGGCACATAGCCATGCATGGCATCAGCCTGGCAAACCCACGCGGGATTCCTGCGCGGTGTAGACTCTGTAGACAGCAGCATCGCATTGCAAACATCACTTCGCGGTACTTGCGTGGCAACCGGCAATAACCGGCAGATATCTCTATCGATGTTCTTTGTGTATGCCACGGGAAGAAAAGCGGAGAGGGCGGGGTGGACATGTGCCATGATTAGGTAACTCGAGTTTGGTGTTGATCTCTTAGGAACCATCCAAGCAATGACGTCAAGAAGCCGAATTTTGCCAAGAGATGTGAAGTGCGCAATCTGCGTTAAAGCAAGAACCGATATATGAGGTCCTGCACGCACATATTCTCCAAACTGCTCTGGCGCAGAGATCGCTGCATCAGGTGCTGCTCAGATAGATGAACCACAACTGAAGGGTCTCTCTAGGCGCTTGCAAGAGCCTTGCTTGCTCAGACATCTCTAAGTTACGAAAGCTCGAAGCTTTAAGACCTCGAACTGAGACCTTCGAACTCCATGATTCTCCAAGCATGAGTCCCCTTCTTTCAAGTTTCTCCAAAGCTCAGAGTAGATATTGCCGGGCTGCTGGTGCATGGTCGGCGGCATCGTGAGACAGGAGCGAAGATGCCAGCAGCTTGGGGTCAAGAGTCTTCGGGTTTGAGGAGGTGGGCTGTGGCGACGGGCTTCAAAGCTTCACAGCTTAGCCAGAGGGGGTTTGTGAAGTCACGTTCGCGCGTCCGCTGGGCATGGGCTTTGAACCTGGCAGTGCGTGGGTTTAGTTTAGTTGTTAAAATGGCCTTCCTGCACTCTATGCTGGAGAGTTCGTGTGTCTGCGAGGATCACTTGCGGCCGTGCTGGCCTGAGTCTGACCAGGCGGCTGTTGCGCAGCATTGCCCTTCCATGCGTCCCCGTTGCTGGCATGGCTATCTGCGGTCCTCTGCGGCTCTCAGTGTGTTTCGTGGCCCACTTGCCATGGCGTCGTCGCTATCGTTGCCGATCCCGGCGGCGGCCCACTTCGGCGCCCGTGCTCCCTCCTGCCGGCCCGCGCGTGGCGCGGCTCCGGCCTCGGCCTCGGCTCCGACTGGCTCGGCCTGGGCGGCATGCTGCGCGGCTCTGGCCTCGGCGGCGCTGCAGCTCAGGCAGCCCAGGCAGCTCAGGCGCAGGCACAGGCCCCGCCTTCGCTACAACAACGGGCAGCAGATGCAACAGGCGGATTGGAAGCTGGAGGACCTCAGCTCTTGGACCCTCCATGGCTGCTACCAAGATCCCTCGGACCCGAGGCGAGGGACTGTGCAGCTCTACATGAACTCCGAGCAGGCGCGTATGGTCCACAGCGAGTACGGGCCAGTGCCTGCCAACCTGAAGGTCATCACCAAGGAGCCGCTCGCACATGGCATATGCATGTGCGCAGCAAAAAAGATGCAAAAGGCTGTGTAGCATGGGTAGCAATGGTATATGCTAATTTGTAACAGGTGGGCACAACGCGCCCCAGCGATATCCAGTATAGGCTTTGCATGTGTGCTGTAATTTTGCATGCGCATGCGTGGGCCTTCTCTGCAGGACGGCAGCCTGGAGCTTGCGGAAGGCGGGCTGGCAATCCAGATTTGCGATGCGGGGCTGCGCCTTCCGGATGGTACGGTGGCGGCTCGCGTGGCATCTACAAGTCCGGATGCCGAAGGTGAAGATCAGCCAGATCAGCTCGCGGCCGCCTTCGACGCAGATGCCTACTGCAACGCGGTGTCCATGCTGGAGGAGCGCTGCTTCACCCAGGAGGAAGTTGATCAGGTGATTCGCAGCCGCCAGCTCAGGAAGCAGGCCCTCCAGGGAGACCAGGTTCCGAAGCCATTTGCCGTGCCGTCGCAATGCGAGGTTCGTGTGCCCGGTGATTGGAGGCAGGTGCGAACCCACAAGGACTTGAGGGTTCGGAGCTGGCTGGACCGAGTCGGGACTTGGGGTGCCCTGGACGCCAGCGCCTCCTTCAAGAGCTGGCAGCGCGACGCTGGCTCTGCAGGCGTGCCCAGCGTGGAGGATCTCAGGGCGCATGGCTATTTGCAGCTGCTTTTCGGGCCTTGTGCTGAGAGGGTTCCTGAGCGCCAGCGCTTGCTGGGCATCTTGCGGCAGCCAGAGACGGCCGTGGCACAGTACGTGGTGCAGCATCACAATTTCTGGCAGCGGCCGGAGAGCGTGAACCGACTCGACGAGATCGAAGGACACTTCGAGGGCATGACGCGCGGAGATTTCCAACGAGAAGCCCCGCCTCCGGTCCTCCTTGCACGCTTGGAGCGGGACCGCCCTGCAAGGCACCAGCAGAGCCGAGCTCGGTTTTCATCCTTGAAGTTGGTCGATACCTGCATTCTGGAGGCGGCAGAGATGAGTGTGGAGCTGATCACCACGGAGCGTGAGCTCTCCCAAGCAGCCCAGGATCTCAAGAAC